GTGTGAATGTGTGTGTGCATGGGTGAATATCTGCAGTGTAAAGCGCTTTGAGTGTCCCTGATGGATAGAAAGGCGCTATACAGTCCTGTTACCATTTACCATATTTGAGTAGGGGGTTCCATCTAAAAAAAAGGGAGTGTTTGAACATACAAAAATGCTTACAAGTCAAAAACTATTCAACATAGGAGTTTCAGGTTTTTCTCTTTTTTTGTTGTTTAGCTCTGATGAAGGGCTGTCCATCGAGCCCATCAATGAGCCAACTCCCCAGACTCCCACTCAAAACAATAAATCTGTTCTGGTGACTGGTGCTTTGCATCTTTTTTTTGAATTAATTTTTTTGGGGAGTGTTGGGGTCATATATGCTCCCGCTATGCAGTATCTAATTTTGTTTACAGTTTGCACCCAGTATGTAAGCTTTAGGCCGGGTACACACTGGACACAGTTTGAGCAGCTGAAGCAGCAGTTTACACGCAAAGTATATGGTGGACGTGTGTTTAACTGGGCTCGAGACAAAAAAAATAGTTTGTCAGTTCGCAGCTCCTGGAGTGAACTCACCAAACAGACCGCCTCTAAATTATCTGGTGAATTATCTCATGAGCACAACGTTCACTTGCTTTCAGTAAATAAAGCAAAGCCATTTTCTTTGTTTCATCTTTATTTCATCCGCCATTAAGACAGACCGGAAAAAAACAAGACGCTCCTCCCATTCAGACGTACGTCTAGTCTGCGGCCCGGTCTGAACGTAGTGTGTCCAACTTGAGGCGTTGGGCRCATTTTTGCTGCTCAAAACGTGTTTGGTGTGAACCCGGCATTATGCACACGCTCCCTGTCTTGTTTCCTGTTTTGGTGCATTTACAGCATTACAGCCTTAAAAAGATTGTTTTTGTGTTTCTGTATGAATAAGGTCCAAGTCTTTCAAACAGCCTGTCAGAAATTAGTCATTAAGAGTAAAATGTATCACAAGATTAMAAAGCAGAATAATTAACTTCAGGTTACTCACCTTGGCTCTTCTTCTTTGGAACGTTTTGGACAGTATTTCTTCACGAGGTTTCTAGATGAGAAGAAAGCTGATTTAATCAACATTTTGATGTGTAACGATTGCACTTGACAAACTGTTAACTGTGTGTTCTATGACTTTGTAATTTTCATGTTTTTATAGAGTGAAGCACTTTGAACTGCCTTGTTGCTGAAATTTGCCATACAAATAAATTTGACTGATTGATTTAGAGGCTCAGACATCTGATATTTTAATCCTAATAGAGAGATAGACGCTCACTCAGAGCCACTACACAAAGAAAGGAACGGAGCGTATTATTAAAGATGAATCAAAGATYGAAACATCAAAGCCTGTTTGCTCCCTCAGGCTCAGAGAAAACRGAGTCCAGTAATGAGCTGAATGAATTCAGCTGAGAGCAGGTGAATCTGTTATCAGTCAAAGTCTCTGTCTGATTTATTCCACACAGACACATCAGTATTTTTGTTCCTAAACTTCGAGCGCTTCATGTGTGCGTTTGTTATGTTTTCAGTGGAGATTATCTCTTGTGATAATAATTCTCCACAGGGAACAAACTGGTTTTTAAATGAGGTTTACTGGGTTTGTGCTTCTTTTAGCTGTGAAGTAGCTGCAGCAATAGAATAAATAATAAATAATCACATTGATATTCATCTCACTCACTTCAATACATTAAGATTTGCACTGCAGATGACTGTCTTAAATCTGCATTTGAACATTTTTACGAGACATTTTTAACATCCAATAAATGAGCTGAGTTCATACTTGTTAAAATGTTTATTTTACCTGCTGAAAGAGCTTTATAACCTATATTAGAAGCAATGAGAACAAGATGATTTAATTGATGTAAAAACCATAATTACTAATGCTGCCAGGTGCAAAAGTAGCCAAACCACATCAGGGTATAATGCCTTAAACAGCTACTCAGTGACGTATGGTATGTTTTTTACAAGCTACATTTTTGAATTTGTGGGACTGTTTCATTGAGGATTTATGTGCAGTTTTTTCCATGCAAAATATTAATAAATATTTAGATGAGAGTAAATTCTGGCAGAGTTTGCATCAAATAATCTTGCAGAAAATGTTTTTAGAATAATGTCTTGTAAATCTGTTCCCTGTTGGCTTCATCGGAACGAGATCTGCAGCTCTCGCTGGAGCGGTTCGCGGCCGAGTGCGAAGCGGCCGGGATGA